CCCCAAAACCCCAAAACCCCAAAACCCCAAAACCCCAAAACCCCGAAGTATTGTGTCCTCATTGATTCACCTAATAATTGTCAACTAAGATTTTTAATTAAGAGGAAATATGGCTTCCAGAGAAGAATGAGGGATTTTAGGCCTATTAAAATTTCTTAGAAAGTGCTACTTCTTCATTAATATCCATGAAGGTACTTTCTATAACCCTATTCCACTCTCAATGTAAAATATGAGAACATTAAGGAAATGGTATATGAAATTTTGTATTTTTAAGATAAATCTAGCTTTCAAATATGGTGTTTAAGCTAAAGCATTTGCACTCAGTTAGAAACCCCAGTTGAGTTTGAGGAACTAGCTTCATTAATTTCTTGTTAAGTGCCTATTACTTAACAATACTGGCCAAAGATCGTTGAGTTTTTAAGAAGGGAGTGGGCATAAGATATTTTTGTGGTTGAAGGAAGCATGAATTAGCACAAATATTATTCACAAAAGCAAAAGTAGGGTGTCAATAATTCAATTGCTTTTGTGATCACTGAGTAGTCTTCATTTTGAATGAAGTCTCTGTGGGGATCCTTGTTCCAGATATTTGGAGTTGTAGGGGTAAGAGGGTTATAAGCATCGATGTTTCTGTGAGCTGAAAAGCACTTATTTAGATGAGTAGCTTCGGCTCTGTTATCCATAGTAGATTCTAGAATTACTTTACCACCTTGTTGAGGATAGATCTTGACATTTCCCTCATGATTCATTATAATCTCTCATGGGACTGTAGTCTGTATTCTTGCTTCTAATATGTTTGCATTTCTGAGTTGATTCACTGGAAGATCTCAATTCTTATTGAGTTTGTTTGAAATCAAGCCTCTTTGAATAAATTTCTCTGAAGCAGCTTTTATATGTTCCTTCATGGGCCTACACATAAAATAAAACCAATCACTAAGCACTCAAGCAATAGTAGGTTCATTAAATTGCTATTTTGCCATTAACTAGGTCTAAAACAAGCAAAAATTTTACTAAAAATCTTTAGATTTGAGAATTAAGAACTGATAACTCTAAAGTCTTGATTCCAAGACTCATTATGCTATTCTCATTGTGTTCATATAATTAATAATGCTCTTCATTGTTTGTGAGAGCTTAGCACTCGCATTCAGGAACCTTAGTGATTCTTACAACAACTTGGCTTAAATATACAAGGCTCTCACCTTTGAAATTTAGAAAACTCCCCATTTCTCTGAATCTTCTTTTGGTTGATTTTCTCGATACTAAATTCTCTCTCGGGAATCAGAGGAGTTTCTAGTGAAGGCACTTGGGAATCCTCCAAGACTTTTCTAGAATGCTTCAAGTCTCTCTTCCTGAAGTGTTTTTGCTCCTCGAATTTGGAATTACAACTGGAAAAGAGCTCTCCAGTAGTCTTAGATTCAGATCTTTGGCTCATCATCTTTTTGGGATTTGTCTCTGGCTTCTCAGAGGCTCTAGAGCTCTTTTTGGAGTATTTTGTTTTATCTTCAAGAATATCATTTTTGTAGAATCTCAAGTGGTCGCAGTCGTTGTTCATGATGTACTCCATCGGGTCTTCCAGGCCAAAGTGCTTTCTGATCTGGTGAAAATATCTACGCAAGTGTGACTTTATCTGAAGTCTTGTGCGAGTGGGAATCTATTAAAAGATGTTAGAGTCTATCTATAAATAAGAATTACCGATTTATTTGAGCATTGGCCACTCTATACCATGGGTCTTGATGCCTATTAAAGTGAGTGAGGACCTTACATTGTATAAACTGTGAGTGCTCTTCTGATGTCCAATATCCATTGTTGTACTTTTTACTCCAAGAGAACATTTGCTTGAGCTGAGTAAATAGTTAATTTGTCATATTAAATAGTTTTGAAGTGTTTCCAAAATATGAGAGAAGAGAAAATCTCTAGTATTCCTGAAATGGGAACTTACCTCAAGTTTTCCTTTACTCATTTAAGTCTAAACAAGCGTTAGAGATAACCCAAATATCAATGTCAAGAAGTAATCTTAATTTTAAGCCAATATGGCCGTGATCATTGGTCCTATCCTTCAAAAATTCTTAAAACTTTCAAGTACTTTCCTGCTTGTTTAAAAACCCATAAATAAACCTCTAATCTTTGGATACAGCTCTTATAATATTCAGAGACTAATTTGGAGTGTTATTTCATTAATAAGAGAGACTATTCACCTCTACTAAAGAATATCTACTGATATTTCTCAAAAATTTCCAGAACATTTATGCTCAGAATAAAGAATCTGGAAAATATTGGATAGAGAAAATATTTTTAAGGTATTTACTTAAAGATATATGACGAGAAGTGTTCAAAGCCCGAGATCTATCCCAAAGCATTTATTAATAACACAAGGGCTGATAAGACTTCCTAGAAGTACTCTTAATGCCAAAAGATTATTAAAAATCTTAGAATAATGCTTGTTTAAACTAGTTTTTGTTTGTTCATAAAGTGATACAAAGAAGCTTTATTTTTGCCACAAAATCTTACAAAGAACGATGACATCAATAGAGCAGCCATAAAAATGATTCTTTTTTAACCTAAGCACAAAAATGAAGAGGAATCTTCTATTTTGAGGACAACTTTCAAATGTACGAGAAGTTCTCATAACTATAAACTTTATTGGTTGCCTTCCAGAAACACGAAAACTCATAAACATATCCGAATAAATGAATCCGGATGCCCAGCCTAATTTACTAATCTAATCCTATAATTATTAAGAATAGGCTAAACATTCAACAATCCCGCCTTAAGGGAAGCTAATTAATGAAGCTGACTAAAACCCGAGTCCTTCACCTAAATTCTTCCTTGGATTCTTAAGAGAAAACAAATTAGCAAGGTTAATTATGTCTTATTTTATTTGGCTGTAATATTACTAGTATTTCTACTTAATTAAATTTTGAGTTCTAGAGCCTAAGCCTATGACGCTGGGAGATATCCCTGGAGATTTCAATGATTGTTGAAAGTGTTATCACTCTAAATATAGCCACCCTATTCATAATTCACCGATATTTTTATTAAAAGATGCTATATTAGTAAAAAGCCAAACATCCTAGTGAATATATAGGAGTAGAATGAAATAGCTGATCCATTGTCTGAATTGATATGACCAAGGGATCAATGTTTAAGGTACATAACCCTAGTGAGTCTATGGTATCTTTTATAATCATTCACCGAAATCTTGATAACTGCTAATTTTTATGGCCCTAGTTCCTAGTATAAGAAATTTAATAATATTTCCAAACCAAGCCTATGACTTTGCAAGCTAGTATACCCCACAAGAAATTAATTTAGAATTAAACTAAAGGGAATTCGGAATTTTTAGACAAGCACAAAAATTATCAAAAAATTGTCAACCACCAAATCATTAAGAATCCTAAACAGAAAGCAACAACCTAGCAAATGGGCTCTCTTGGTACTTTAATTCCCCTCAGTCCCAAAGCTATTAGCTTATAAAGCATCAAGAGCGGCTGCTATTGCCTTCAGCATCCTCATTCTTTGTGGTAGAGTATCATATCTTTTCACCAATAAAAGTTATTTAAGAAATAATAGTGACTATGGTTAATAAATAGCTTCATTTTATTAACAATAATAGGATAATTGAAGTCGAGAGGAAGCATTTGACAATGAAGCAGGCTGAAAAGATGAGAAACTTCATGCCTAGAGACTAAGAAATACTTTAATAAGGAATCTTGGAACTATATGAGTTCATCAAGAATGAGTTTATAATGTTAGTGGAGTTTAAGAAAAAAATTTATTCAGGTATAACCTCTTTTTTTGCCAAGAGACAACCAAGAAGAATACTCAAAGCTTCCAATAAAGACATTTTAGAGATCTAAAGGATAATATTTACGATCAAAGTATGATAAATAACATCCTCTTGAATTTGATATTTTTAGCTTACTAAAGACCCGATAATCCGGTTCTCAAAATCACCTGAATACCTCATTACCCCCTACTATTTCGCTAACCTGGAGCACAAAATCCTCCAAATTCTCCTAAAATCCTTCCAAACCTCATTCAAAACCCGTAAAACAATTCATCCCATCAGCCAATTCCCAAAACTACACCTCTACCCCCAAAAATCCCCAACATTCCTAACTTCCCCAAAACCTCAAGAGTGAAATAGCCACCCCATACTTACTTAATATATTTTTATTCAATAATTTAGCATCAGTCCGGGGTTTTGGGGTTTTGGGGTTTTGGGGTTTTGGGGTTTTGGGGTTTTGGGG